AGCTTAGTAGAGTCACACGTCGAGAACTACACATTGGAAAGTCTGAAGTGATAACTAGGACCCGAGAACATGTGCATATTTTTTTACTTTTTCATTTTGCTTAAAAATAAATAAGTAACTGTCCCTGTATATGGTCAATAGGTTTGTACAAAGTAATGAAATGCTAACTAAAAAGGAGTGGGCGTAAATTTACTTCCCGTCTCGTACAAACTATTTATGCTATTACGTGTACACATGTAACAAAACTATTAACCAAACTGTGTTTCAAAAATTAGAAAACTGTATTTTCGGATGACAGGACCAGGATCCTTGAAATTTTTTTATTCATGCCGACACAAAGTAATAAAACTTCCCACGTTCTTTGACGCAAAACTGTAACAAACTTCGGTCTGTTTCCTTTTTAGTATTCGAACTGCAGCAGAAACGACTTATCTAGCATATTGTAACAACAGACACTTACAGTTAGAAATGGGTATATAGCTACAACAGGATTCCCATAAATTTGCCTCGAAAAATCATACCTTTGGGCATATGTATCTATGCAGAATATCCAGCAATCCAGGCTCGACAGCTGATAGAACTTTGCTATTTTGAAACCCCGTGACACAGTATAAAACATTTTCCTTTCATTCCTGGATAAACTAGAAATAGAATATTTTCAATGAATCAAACATTTGATCAAACTCATAGTCTCCAGTTAAGTCAGTGGGCTTGGCCCATCTAGCAAAACCCGCTCAGGGGAATATTGACACTGCTCCAAGTTGGTGAGTGTGGATACATTTCTTTTGACTGCTTAGCCTTTCTCAATTGAGTTATTCCCCTGGGTCCACTACTTTGGCAAATTTACTATTTATTAAAACAACATAGAGAGTATGGTTTTACGTCATACGCCAGTCCGGCGTCTTCGTGGTGATTGTGTGAGTATCCGAGTGGATACAGTGTACGCATGATAGGAAGTGTGCTCAGCTTCAAAGGAAGTATTGCAGACGGAGTTCTACTGATGCACATGTGTTTACTGGAAGCTTTACCAGCACCCACGTGGGTACACCACGGAGGCTTACAAGGATTCAAAAATATACACATACACATATACACCCACCCAACTTACCGTAAAAAGGTTATTCTATTAGCAAAAGGGGCAGCTTCTGATGATCGAATTGAGCAGGAGTTGGAGGCGTCACTATGTCACTGTTTCTCTTTCATGGGTAGAAACGTTCTGTAGTGTTCGTAAGATCCACAAAAAATACTCCCTTCTACACCGACTGACAAAAGTTCGGGCAAATCTGGCCTTAGTTAGCATGGCCAGAACAATCAGTCTTCTAAACTCTTCACAGGTCACACCAAGACTCGGTTACGTCGTTGTACATAGACTGCTACTGACTCCAAAACTATTTATAGTTACTCAGCCAGCATTTTGGTTTCAAGTCTTTCTAGCTAAACGTTATAAAATGGAATTAGGCAAACGTACAATTAAGTATCCCGTTATTCCCAAACTTGTTACGTTATATACAGGAATACCAATTTTTCCCTCGTTTCTCGCCTACTTCATGCCACTCTTTTTGTGTAGGAGGAAGTATATGGTACACGCTGACGGACTGTCAGCCACTGCATCCAATCACATTAAGCTTGGAAAACGGACTGGTGCCTGGGAGAAGGAAACAGAGTTAATTCGACTAAGAAGACAGCGTCCCCCGGGCACATCGGCGCGTTTCCTTGCTATAAAATATCTGCCACACGTCTAAACTATCACGATGCGCCGAAGTTTGTAACTTCAAATGCTTCCAACCAACGCTATGACTCGGTCCTCTCTTTACATAAATTTAGGTCGCAATGGCTCCTTCTGAGTAGTGCCCCTATGGCGCTCTCTGACAAATGAGGTCCGAGCGGATCATTCTTGGTTCTGTAAAATTCCGGCCACTCGTGTGTTGACCAGGCGGGTCTGGCACGCGTA